ATCACTTGCCCCAGACCGAGAGTTCCTATCTATACCTTGTGGCTAATAGCCACTGATGGACCTCTGCTCCATGTGTTTATCCAAGTCCCTCTTGAAGCCGTCCATGCTTGTAGCCACTGCTACCTCTTCTGGCAGTGAATTCCATGTGTTAATCACTCTTTGAGTGAAGAAGGACTTCCTTTGGGTGAAGAAGGACTTCCCAGTCATTGATGGGTATGAAGTGTCATGTCTTCACTTAGCAGACATCACTCTGCAAACCACAACCAGAAACTCCTCAATTTGAAATAAGCTTTGCCAGCCAGGTTTTTTCTCTGGAGCCGCCTGAACTGTCAAATTGGTGAAAAGCGGAGCTGAAAGAAAAAGCCGAGAAGCATCTCTGGACCAATGCTCCCTCTAAGCGATGGAGTCCTGTGAGCAAAGATTCTGCCTTGTGAGCTACTGGCATGAAAGCTGCGAGCGGGCGGTTTGGCTGCTGCATCAATTAGTTTGCTCTGGAGCCCATCCCTTCCTGAGCTAAGACAAGAATGTGTGAGCCGGAGGCTAAAAAACTGTGAGCTAGCTCGCACTAACTCAGCTTAGAGGGAACCCTGCTCTGGACCCTGGTGCAGATTGAAGAAAACCTTGGTTAGATGCAGTTTCTCAATTTTTAAGGCAGAGCACAAATCTTGCTGTCTTTGTGTCTTTAAAACAAGTAGCCACAGACTGACGCAGCTCTGAAGTTGACGAATGCGGGAGGGGTGGCAGCTGCCAAGTCAAAGCTGTGGACTCTGCTCCTGCCCCCGTCAACAGGAGGTTGTTTGTCTGCACGCCAGCTCTCTTGCCCTCTCTCTTTGGCTGCCCCTGCTGAGGGGTCTTAACCCCTCAAGGCTTGGCATCTTCTGACATTCCAACAGATTTATCAGCCCATCATTGGATTGGCTACTCTCCCTGAGGGTTTGACCCCGTATCTGTTGTGTTATATGTGTGAAAGGGGAATCCAATAATTGGCATATCTTCCACTCCTCAACGCTTTGGAGTTTTGTTTTGTTTTTAATTTATGAAGGAAAACTTAAGTAGCTTCTAGTTCCTGTGCTGCTGAATTTGGACTTTTTGCACCAGGGACAAAAGCCTTTATCACTTATCCAGTTCTTAAGGCAGCGGTAACGATATGTTAGACAACATCAGATCCTTCGCAGTCATTAAATCGGCTCCATCTAGGCCTCCTGTTTTCCCAGCGCCGGCTTCTTGCCCCTGAGGAACTGAAGAGCAGGAGGAAAAAATTCCCTCCACATAGTGATTCTCTAGGGATTTCCCTACTCTCTATGGTAAAACACTGTAGAGATGGGGGGAGGCAGTCCAAGGCATCGCCCGAAGTGGCCTCAGATTCCCCCTAAACTCCCCCCTCCCCAGGCACCGCCTTCTAAATCTCCCAGCATTTGCTGAGGCCGTCTTGGGAACCCGAGGGCCATCCTGCCTCCAGCTGTGAAAAGACAGCAGATTTTAAGTCTCACACCACTGCTGAAAGATGTGCAGGAAGAGAAATCCATTGATAGCTATGAGCCGGGACAGTAAATGGATCCTCCACATCCAGGGGCTGTAAACCGCTGAATGCAAGTGATAGAGGAGGCCGCACCCATGGGAGATGTTGCCGTCCATGCCTTGTTGATCTGCCCTTCAGGGGCATGTTGTAGAACAGGATGATGGACTAGCTGGACCCCCCAGTCTGATCCAGAAGGGCACCTCTTTTGGTACAGGCCTTGCCTTGGCTCCCAGGGGAGGGCAGGCAATGACGGGAGTCCGTTTGGACAGGGGGGGAGGGTGCACCAGCGACGGCCAGGCCTTCCAGGAACTGCACAAGGTCTGTTGACGGTGATTAGCCAAGATAGCGAAACGGAGCCTCCACCTTCAGAGGCAGCATACCTCCAAACACAGTCGGTTAAGGACAAGCAGCAGGGAGGTGGTGAATTCAGTGTTCCCCCTAAGCAGAGTGAGTGTGAGCTAGCGCACAGTTTTTTAGCCTCTGGCTCACACATTTTTGTCTTAGCTCAGGAAGGCTGGCTCCGGAGCAAACTAATCTATGCAGTAGCCAAATCGTTCGCTCACAACTTTAATGCCAGTAGCTCACAAAGGAGAATATTTGCTCATAAGACTCCACAGCTTAGAGGGAGCATCATTGGTGGTGATGTTGTAATATTCCCAGAAAGCAGCTCTTTGTCCTCTGTTGGAAACAAAACAGAGCTGTTTTGGGTCTGGATGCGACGGAGGCAGCTCTTCTCGCCACCTCCTCTCCAGCTGAGCCAAGGCGGGTGGCTGCCAATGGGACTGCCCCTTTTCTCAGGGGGAGAGGCACCAGCTTTGGCACTCGCTCCCTGGGCTTCTGGCACTATGGCTCTTGGCCATATAGGTGCCGGGGAAAGGTGGCCTCTGCACTCCTCTGTTTAGGTACCTCCTTTTTTTGCGTCCTTTAAAAAAAAATCTATGCCTTTTGTTGCTGTTGGACTCATTTATGTCTTTGGTTTTACTGACCCCTTTCGCTGTCTTGTGTTCTTGGAAGACTTGATGCTGAACAGCAGAGTAGGTTTTAAAACGTAAATGAACGCATTTTTGAATTGCACACCCTTGTGATGAAATCAAGAGATCGGCCGAGTAGATGAAGGCCTGTTTTTCTTGCCCTCTGTGCCCTAGAGAGATTTAATAACTGGTGTTTCGAGATGCTGAAAGTCAGATTGCTCTTTCTCTTTGTTTCAGATGGCTTTGGTGCAACTTCAGACCTGTTTCACACTCAGCACAGAGATGTAAAATTTCTGGAAATTTTGAAGCTCGGGAAAAAACCCGTTTTTTCCCCTTTTCCCCCCGGAAAAAAACGGAAATTTTTGGAAAAATTGAAAAAAACATGCTACTTTAGCACTTCTTTTTTTTCTTTTCCAGATTGAAAGTCATTCTGTTACTTTAGGAACATAAAATATGACTATGGACATTTTTACTTGGCATGAAATTATCACAACTAGCATATTAAAAATAGAGTGTATCCAAACAATTATTACAAACAGAATAGCCACCCACATGCAAAAACAAAACTGAAACCTTTTTCTTTTCTTGTGACAACAGCACCTCCTAAAGGAAGAAATGCATCTTGTTCTTGCATTGGAGAGTTCAGTTTGTAACCTAGGACTTGCCTCAGTGCACAGAAATTAGATCAATCTGATACCACACATATTTTTTAGAAATGATTTGGAAAATATTTGAACACCTTGTCTTAAAATATTTTATTCATCATGTTCAAATAAAATGTTCCATGATCAATCTTTCCCCTTTCCTTTCCTTTTTTCAATTTTTCCAATTTTTCGGGAAAAAACAAAAAAAGCTTCAGGGAAAAAACGCCTTTTTCCCGAATTTTTCCGTTTTTTTTTTCCCAGGCCTTCACATCTCTAAGCACAGTACAGTCCCGTTAAGTTTGCAGCACATCCTCTATCCCCCTAAGTGCAGACTTGGGACCTCCACGTTATGCCCTGAAATCCCTTTTCACCTGCCCCCCCCCCTTTTTGAGGGGGGGCTGTGGAACACACAATTTAAGATTAAGAGTTCTGACAAACTCCAAAGCTTACGTGCCCTGTTGTGATTTTTTTAAACAAACACGGTTCTAATATAAAGGGAGGGGTATTCTGCAGTTTTTTGGGTTTGGGGGATGAAGGGCGGGGGGAAGCGGCTCAGCTGACCTTTGCTTCTGTCCCCCCCAGGCCTCCAGGCGGCGGAGTGGCTCGGACGCAACCAAGTGCTGCATCACGGCCCTTTGACATGGTACATCGATGGCGCCCACACCACCAGCAGCATCCAGGCCTGCGTGCGCTGGTTTCGCCAGGCTGCCCTCAATGAGGAGAAACCCACAGAGTAAGGGGCAGAGGGGCGGGTGCGCCTTTCCGTCTCGTGACCCCGGGCTGGGTGTGGAAACTGTATTTAGGGACCTTTTTCAGAGTTTAGATATACCCAAGTTGTGTGATGAATCCAAACGTATGCTAAATTAGCACGATACATAAGGGGCTCGGGGCGACAGTGCAAAGGCAGCAGGATCAAGCAATGATTGATGGTGCAAAGGAGGTCAGAGTTTGATCTGTGCCTGACTGGGAACCTTTTTCTGTGCTGCCTTGAATTCTGTGACGGAAGGAGGCAGGGGCTGTATGGGGCGGGGCTGTAGTCCAATTGGGAGAGCAGCTGTCCGACATGCAGAAGGTCCCAGGTTCAGTCCCGGCCACCTCCAGTTAAAAGGCTCAGTCATAAAGTCACGTGGCCGGGGGTCGTTTCGTAGAAGAAGAGGTGCAGGAGCTCGTTAGCATAACTCATTTGCATATGCCACATCCCCTGACATCACCAGAAGTGTGTCAGAAGGCAACACCCACGGCTCAGGCTCCACTGGACTGTTTTGGATTGCTAGCTATTGGGGGGGAACATGCAGATCTGCCCTCGCAGAGGAGGGAGAGCTTGTACCTGAATAAAACTTGGTCTTAAAGGTGCCACTGGACTGTTTTGGATTGCTAGCTATGGGGGGGGGGAATGCACAGATGTGCCCTCACAGAGGAGGGAGAGCTTGTACCTGAAGGCAGGCTGGGGGGGGACTCTGCAATTTATCTGGCGTGGCCCGACTGAGGGCTGCTGGGGGCAGGGGGCGGGGCTTGTTGCATGTGCCTGCCCCCGGGCTCCTTACTGCTGGAGCTCCGCTCCTGTGCACTCCCGCAGGAAATGACCCCCCTGCACGTGGCCCTGACCTAGACGGCCCAGGCTAGCCCGGTCTCAGCAGATCTCAGAAGCTAAGCAGGCTCGGCCCCGGTTAGTACTTGGATGGAAGACCACCCAGGGAGTCCAGGGTCGCTACACAGAAGCAGGCAACAGGGAACCACCTCTGTTTGTCTCTTGCGTTCGTGTGTTCAAGAGAGGTGGGGTGCAAATGAAGGCTCAGCATCTCTCCCTGGACCTCAGGAAAGGGCCCGATTCGTGGAGGGCGGGGGTCAATGAGCGGCCGTCTAGCCGTGATAAGTGGGCATCATGTTTAGAGGCAGCATAGAGTGAGTAGCAAGAGGACATCTTTGTGGACCGTTTCTGGGCATTCTGAAGGCCGACCGCTGCTGGAAACAGGATACTGAGCTAAGTGGCCTTTGATTGGGATCCTGCAAGGCCGTTTTCCGGATGCTGTTGGGTCTGAGTGCATTGAGTTGGGGGGTTGATGGGGGTCCCGTCCAATGCTCCTTCTTAGCTGTGGAGTCTTCTGAGCAAAAATTCTACTTGGTGAGCTACCGGCATTAAAGTTGTGAGCGAGCAGTTTGGCTACTGCATCAATCAGTTTGCTCTGGAGCCATCCCTTCCTGAGCTGAGACAAAAATGTGTGAGCTGGAGGCTAAAAAAACTGTGAACTGGCTCACTCTAACCCAGCTTAGAGGGAACACTGGTCCTGTCTCTCTTCTTGCCTTTGCAGTGGCTCTGAGGTCCGAGTGCTGCTCTTCAATGTGACCGGCGACCGGGACACCGCTGCTCTCCTGAAGCTGCTGCTGGTGAGGCTTGGCCCTGGCCCACGTGACCGAGGATGGCGCCGTGGCAGCTCTGGCGTGAGAGCGGGGGGGGAGGGTCCCGCGGCAGCTGCCCCCTGGACTGAAGAATGCCCCGTCCCCCACTCTGGCCTGTCCCGTAGGTTCTGTAACCCCCAAGTGCCCACGATCAAATAGAAAGGGGGACGCCATCTTTGGGATTGTGAGCGTGTCAGCACTGTGCTTCCAAAGGTCTCTTATTTGGCAACCTGCTAGTCCAAGGCTGTACTGATTTGTGTGGTAAACGGAGGTCATGTTTTCTTCGATATTTAACTTGACAGAAGACACAGAGGGAGATGAGCGACAGGGTTTATTTAATAGAAATTGAAGTATTTAATGGTGTAACTGTTATTGGGTAATTCAGGAGGGTCGCTGTGTTGTTCTGAAGCAGCAGGACAAAGTTTGAGTCCAGCGGCACCTTTTAAGACCAACAAAGTTGTGTTCAAGATAATAAGCTTTCGTCTGCATTCCGTGTTAATTACTCTCAATATTCCGCAATGAAGAAGAGTACGTCTGCCCATCAGTCTCCAGTTTTATTTCTTTCCTTCACTTTGTTCCCCCCCCCCCGAATTAAACCCAAATAAATGGTAACTATATAAATATAAACTTATTATTCCTGTTTGGTCCTTGAATCCGTTAAACATCTTCCACGACAGGGTTTATTTAACAGAAATTGAAGTATTTAATGGCGTAACTGTTATGTGTGGGTAATTCAGATGGGTGGCCGTGTTGTTCTGAAGCAGCAGGACAAAGTTTGAGTCCAGCGGCACCTTTAAGACCAACAAAGTTGTGTTCAAGATAATAAGCTTTCGTCTGCATTCCGTGTTAATTACTCTCAATATTCCGCAATGAAGAAGAGTACGTCTGCCCATCAGTCTCCAGTTTTATTTCTTTCCTTCACTTTGTTCCCCCCCCCCCGAATTAAACCCAAATAAATGGTAACTATATAAATATAAACTTATTATTCCTGTTTGGTCCTTGAATCCGTTAAACATCTTCCATTATGTTGTGTGCTAATTTGCTGCTCACCTTCTCCCTATTTGTATAGACTGGTAACTTCCATTTCAGTGTATCTGAGGATGTGCGCAGGCACACGAAAAGCTTATACCTGGAATAGAACTTTGTTGGTCTTCGAGGTGCCACTGGACTCCAACTTTGTTCTGTTACGTGTGGATGACGTCAGTACATAAAGTACAGCTAGCTTTCAAGTAGTAAATCAGCCCTGAAAGGATATTTGATTCCCCTTTCTTCGGACAGGTTTACCTCAGCAGGTCTTTTCCCACATAGATCACCTTTCCACAGAGTCTATACACACCAGTTAGGAATGATGGGCTCTGAACAGGGTGATTATTTGCCACACTGAAAATAAGGTTTCTTCTCTACGCTGATCCCCATGCCTTAACCAAAAGACAAATAAAAACCTGGCTAAGCTGATGCTCCAGTGCAGAGCCATGAAATCCAGAGCCAGTTTGGTGTAGTGGTTAAGTGTGCGGACTCTAATCTGGGAGAACCGGGTTTGATTCCCCACTCTTCCCAGGCTTCAATTGCCTGACAATCGCTTGTATTGGAACGAAGCCTAAATTGCAAAGATTAGTTCAGAGCCCTGGAGGAGAGGCAGGACTTTTAAGGGTGATTACTACAGGGCCTCCACTGCCGCAAGATGAAATGCCTTTACATTTTGCTGCCTGGTGTCGCCGGCCATGCACTAGTTCCTCTTTACTCACCTGGGAAGGAAGAGCACTGTTAAATGGACAGAAGTGCTGAGTCTGAATCGATGTAAGAGAACAGAAGATATGCCTGGGAGTGGGAGCAAACGGTCTGTGGATATGTCAAGGGTGCTGTCCTGATTGGGGGCAGATGGGGGGGGAGAAAGAGCTCCAGATCACCAGTTAACCTCCCTCCTCCCCTCCACCCCTGCTTCTGGGCTGCAGAAAGCAGGGGCAGTGTGCGGATGCTGTGGTCTGGTCACTGCCACCACCCTATTTTCCGTATGTTTCTAGGGCTGGATAAGTGAAGCTCTGTGAATCGATGTAAAAAAGTAGAAGAGATGCCTGGGAGTGGGAGCAAACGGTTTGTGGATATGTCAAGGGTGCTGTGCTGATTGGGGACAGATGGGGAGGGGGAAGAAAGAGCTCCGGATCACCAGTTAACCTCCCTCCTCCCCTCCGATGCAATTTAAATCATGGTTTTCTACATAAAGGCTCATTCCCAATCAATCAATCTAATTTATTGCTGCAGGAGCCAGTAAAAAAGGCTCATTCTTACTGGCCTTAATATTTACAACCCAGATGAAGGTTTCATTTTAGTATAATAACTTTTCAGGTTAGTTTTAGTCATATCAGAAAATTAATGATTGGTTATTTACCACTTGAAATAGATCATTATGTAATCATTGCAAGGTGAACTATCTCCAGTTTTAATAGGTTGTTAATAATTCATAGTTGGACAATTTTTCTGCTGTACTTTATTGGAAGGAGAAAAATAACCATTAATAATAACTATTTAAATTGTTTTATCTAACTAAAGCAGTAACATTGTATAGCATATATATTCTTGTATCTGTGTAAACATCCATGATCTCACAAAGATATCAAGATTCCTGGAGTATTCTGCTCAAGAGGTTTCACTTTCTTTTGTACTCCTTGCCCCTATCTCCTCACTCTTAGCCCTTAACATCTCCTCCTTATCCAGTCCTATTCCACCCCACACAATCTTATATTCATTGAACCTCTTGATAAGAGATTCTGCGTGCATAGATTTGAAGAGGATCAATAAGACTGCGGTCTCTTAATTTTATAACATGTGAAGAAGAGTTGTGCTGTCTCTGCAGATACAAATTCACAGTTTTGAGAGCTGCCAAACCAAGCATCTCTGATAATATCTTTTAGATAGAAAAATTGTCCAGTAATCTTACAGAAACCTCTGGAAGAGCATGACATTGTGAATGGATTAATGGAACTCATTAAACCTTGCGTGCATATACAGCCTCATGCTACATAATTAAAAACTAATCCTTATTTCATGATGAATAACCTTCGGACTATAATGTATTTTAAATAGAAAACTATCTTTAGATAGATTTTTCCTCAGAAAGCATTTTATCAAAACCAATTTTTTAAAAATGTTTTTATCCACCCTGCATCTATGTATAGCAGCCTCCCAAAGATGTGCATAACATCCCATAATCTTGAGGCCAAAAAGATGTTGTGAATTACATAACTATATACATTCTCACTGACAAGCAAGGAAACCAGCAGAAAAGGAAGTCTAAAATGCACCAGACTAGCCCCACCCTGCACTTCTCTGTCCCGTGATTTTCAGTTTAAAGGCAAAATTAGGTACTTTTGTCTCTTGGCTCGTACCCATTCCCAGCCCACTGAAATTGGGGGGGGGGGTAATTAGAAATGACAAATGCTTTCCTTCCGCCTTGGTGGCAGGATTTGTTTTAAAAAATCTATGCCACTTGCTTTTGTGAACTGGGTGCTAGGAAGCAAAGCATGAACTAGAGTGTGGTCTCAGGGTCTTGCACCCGGAAACAAAGGCCGCCTGCTCCTGTCCTGAAAGTGTGTGATCCAACATATCTGCAGTGCAGTTTCCTGATTCTGTTAAACCAGCTGTGAGGGCAGGCATGTGTTTTTAAATAGGATGTGTGAAGCTGTTCTGGTTTCATTTATCTTGCGTTTATCTTAACTTTTGTTTCAACTCTTTTAACTTTTGTTTCAACGCTTGCATTTTTTTTTTCTCTTCATTTTTTTCTCTCTCTGTGTTGCGTGGAGAGGTTCTTATGACATTGAATTAATCTGCTTTTTCTATGACTAGGCTACAAGTGATCCTGGGTGATCTTTATATGAAGGAAAGGATATAGCATGTTAAGTAAGCATAAATGATCAGGATAACTTATCCAAAAACAAAAACAAAACTTGCAGAGAGCCTATTAGACAGAGTAGTGCCATCGTTCAGTGGGAACAGCAGCCACGTCCTGGGTTTTAGGGCATCACAAGTGGGGACTTGCAGGAAACCTGTGGGGAGTGGCTATTCCATTCCTCCCACCTTTGCTTCCTCCCCTCTCCTCCTCCTCCTCCATGTCTCTCACTTTCTGCTTCCTACCACCCGTTCTCTTACTCTCTACAAAAAAGCCCTGTCTCCTTTCTATCCATGAGGATACACTCACAAAGATGTCAAGATTTCTGGAGTAGTCTGCTCAAGAAGTTTCACTTTCATTTGTACTTCTTGCCCCTCCTCGCGCTTAGCTCTTAACATCCCCTCCTTATCCAGACCTATTCCACCCCACACAATCTTGTATTCATTAAACTTCTTGGACCTTAGCACTTAAGAGATAACGCAGGGGTTGATTCTGTGTGCATACATTTGCAGAGGACCAATCGGACCGAGGTCTGTATGTTTATTTTTTAACATTTTTCCTGTGAAGGAGAGGCACGTGATCTCTGCAGACACAAATTCAGTTTTGAGAACTGTAAAACCAAGCATCTGTGGTCATACCTTCTAGATAGAAAAACTGCCCAGTAATCTTACAGCAACCTCTGGAAGAGCATGACGTTATGAATGGATGGATGGAATTCATTTACCAAAAAATTTAAACATTCCATGAGTCATTAAAGTCCTCATGCAACATAATTAAAAACTAATCCTTATTTCATGATGAATAACCTTTGGACTATAATATATCTTAAACAGAAAACTAGATAGATTTTTCCTCAAAAAGCATTTTATTTTAAAAATCCAAATTAAATTAAAATTTAAAAATCCAATTTAAATTTTAAAAATCTGATTTTTATCCACCCTGATATAAGTAGATCAAACAATTTGGGAGGCATTTGCTAGTTTGATATTCCAATGAATTCAAAAATAGGGCAGCCTTCAATATTTTTTGGGTAGTTGAGCCACATGTAGTATAATTTCAGAGGTGTCAGATACCATCTATTCAATCTTATATGAAGATTCTTTAGTGCTCTGAGAGGGCTTGGTAAATGTTTGTGCCCGTTCTTGCTCACTATGAGTTACGTTAATCTCTTTTGGCCATTTCCAAAGTGTACATGGAACATTTATTCCAAACTTGATCTCACACATTTTTATAGAGCAGGGAACTGTTGCCTTTGCTATTTTAGTGGCCTATCAGAAATCAGTTTTTTCAAAGAAGGTTAATGACCCAGAGAGACTGTTCATTATAACTGGAGTTAGAATGAATATTGCACTTGGAGATGTTGGAACCGGAATATTTTGTTGTTGTCTGCTAGATCCTGAAGTTTAGTTTTTCTCTTTTAAAGAATTGTGTTCAGTTACTTTGCTCAATCTGTTGATTAATCTTCTTTTCAATTGTTAAAGATCCGGGGGGGGTGGATTTTGCTTTTTGGCCAATAAATATTCCCACTGATGATATACCAGTGGTGATTGACCTTCGCCCTTGATCCCATGTGCTAAAAGGTTAGGTGCGTACTTTTAATACATTGAGGAGCATTGAGATACAAGATTTCCCTTCCCACTCACACGTGCCGTAGTCTGAACTGCTGCGGTCCAAGACAAGGCCTTGCTGTGTGCGTTTCTGCACACTTGAGCCAACGCTGTGATTGTATTTCCGAGCTGCTTTCCAGAAATCTGACGTTCCTGTTTCTCTTTCCAGCCATGCCAGTTCGACTATGCCGTTTTCTGCCCCAATTTCACTGAAGTGTCTACTGCGGGGAATGCAGGTCAGTGGGAGAACCGGTGTGTGTGTGTGTGTGTGTTGATCTGCATGCTAAAACTGTCACATGGTATCAGGCCGATGACCCATCGGGCTCAAGGGTCCATCCTAGTTGCCGGCTGTCCCTGAGTGCCGTTCGTGTGGAGCTGGGAGGGCAGGACCCTGGCCCCGTTGTGACTTCTCCTTGGCTCCCTCTTGCAGACCAACAGAACTTCAACGTGACACTGGAGAACGTCTTGACGCGCTGCCTGCAGAACCAGAGCTATTGGAATCGCCTGATGGAGGCCAAAGTGAGCCAAGACCCTTGGCTGTCCCCTGCTGCGGAGGTGGAAGGGGTAGGCGGTTGGATGAAGCCGGCCCCCCTGCACGGGTCCCTGCTCTTCATGCCTCCCTCTGCTCGCCCGCTGAATTCCAACTCCTTGGTTTTCCCGTGCATCTCCCACGCCCTGCAATGGATCACTCAGGGCAGGGACCTGCACTTCCAAGCCCCGGCCTCCAGAGGGCTCCACCCCCACCCCGTGGCCAGCAGCGGTGCCGTCCTGCTCAAGGAGGCGGCCACCATCCGGGTCCTGGTGACGGGCAGCTTGCACTTGGTGGGCGGAGTCTTGAAGCTGCTGGATCAGTCGCTCTCGCAGTAGGGGGCGCCGCTGGGCTCCCCTCCCAGGGCCGCGTCTGCCGTCTACTTGAAATGTCCTTGGATGCAGGAGAGCAACTGGTTGTGGGTGTGCCTCTGAGATCGCGATGGCACCTGCAGACAGGTTGGCTCCCCGAGGCTCCTTCTGGCTTCTTCCAAGACCACAGGATCCTTCCTTCCCCCCCCCCCCAAAGGACCTGGGGAAGGTGGTCTGGCATCTGAACCGGGTGGGGCCGTGCTCCCCTCGCATGCATCCTAAGAAAGACCTGCCTGCCTTTTGCGGCCAAGGTTTCCTCGCCAGCACTGAGGGTTCTCTCTGCCGCTGCTCGGACTTCGGGGCTCTCTCCCCCTTCCTCATAGGGCTGCTCCATAAGCCCCTCCCCCCGTCAGTCAGACCCCTCCTCGACCTGAGCCAGAGCAACAGATGATCTCGTTGGTTGCAGGCAGTGGCGCCTTCCAAGTCTGAGCCAACGTGAGACGGGCTGGGAGCTTTTAACTGACAACTCGAGATGTGCCTTTTAACTTGCCCACTCGCCTCTCTCTCCTTTGCCAGCTCCCGTCTCCTCCTTGTTTGTCGTCTTCTGCCATTTCGTCGGGGTGTGGGAAGGCTGGCGGCTTGTTCTCCGGAGGTCTTTCCCGCCAGCTCTTTTGTCTTGCCTTCTTGTTTCCCTTGCCCTTTTCCATGGCTTTCTGAGGCAAACGGGCTGTGCTTTCTGGGAGAATCGCACGGAAGAGCAGAGGTACGAATAGTCTGCAAGTTTACAGTGCGGTTGTTCCCCACGCGGGCCGGAGCTGCAGACAGCCCTGGTCTCTGAGCCACGCAACTGATGTGCAGCGTTCTGGCCTGCATAGCGTCTGTACAGCTGCTCTCCCACTGCAGGTATGGGGTGTTCTGGCGACTCAGGTGCCTTTGCCTTTCAGGGGACAACGGACGCACCTCCGGCAGAGTGCTGAATGCGGGGTGCTTTATGGTTGGGAGGAGCTTCTGGTTTCAGAAACATCCCTCTTGAGTTTCAGGGGCCAATAGAGGGTTGGTTTCGTTTAACAGCGGCCACCATGTGGTGCGTTGGCAGCGGTTGGCTTTATAGGTGCAGCTGAAATTTTCATTTCTCCATCCTTCTTCCCACTCCTGACTCCCCTTGCTGGAACTTCGGTACCTTTGGAGGATGTCTATGGATGACTCCTCCTGTTCACAGGGCAGGAGATGCAGCACAAAAATCTGGGAGGGGGAAAGAAGCTACTTTTTCTAGTATGCCTGGTGGTGGGGGTGGTGGACTCCTCAGTGTCCTCAATTTTAAAGTTTTTTTGAAAAAATCCTGATTCAAGTGTGCCGCACCCACAGGACTGTACCGCCTCTTAAGTGTACTGAAGTGAGGGGGCTTAAAGGTGGACCCCTCATGCCTAAGAGGGCGTTGCTGTCCTAACCTTCTTTGACGTGCAGGTTTTCTGCATACAAGACACTGTTGACGTGGAGATGTCTTTTAGCAAAGCGCTCCCCGCCTTTTTGAGGCACACTGCCCCCCTCCCCACATGTGCCGTGCATCCTTGCTGGATATTCGCTTGTGCTCAGCCTGTGGGTTGGCATCTGCCCAGTGATGATTGGATGAGAAGGAGCATGTTGTCGGGTAATAACGTATCGGCAAACTCCCCGAAAAAGAAGGGGTGAGGCGGCTTAAAACGGTGTCTCCTCCTCGGAGGTGCTCTTAATAGGGTTCCTGTGGTGGCATGCACAAGTCAAGGGTTGCAGTGGCTCATCTGTGAGGCATCCTTATTTTCTGAATGAGGATTAGCAGCCCCGCTGGAATCCATGATCTTTCTAAGGGATCCTTCTGGGGAATATCCCTATTGGGTGGCCTTTTGGGGGCGTTGGCTCTTTTCTTCCCTGCCCCGGTAGTGGCTGCCACCCCAAAAGCTTCCACGGAGTCAGGAGGTAACACAGACGCCTGGAACCTCAGTCTGTGTCAGTGCAGGACAGAGCGCCACAAGGTCTGAATTTGAGCTTTGTCTGCTGGCAGTGAGCGTGAGAGTTTGGAAGGGCTGGGCCTTCCACTCACCGCCTGTGCAGTTCTGTAGGAAAACTGTTATTCCTCCTTGTCAGGGATCTCTTCCTCCAACACTAGTGTACAAGTGGCAAAGTTTAGGCCTTGGTTCTCCCAGCAGCGAGATCTGCTTCCACCCCTCCTTTTGTGGGGCATCTCTCCCCTTTTGCTTGCAAGGATTCTAGGGTCTTAACTCACCCCGCGCAGATGGCATCAGCAGTTCTCAACTCTTGGGGGGGTGGAGGCTGTGAAAGAACACACGGATACGTTATGGATTTTTTAAAAACAATAACTTTACTTCCTTTACTTCCCAACCCTTGCCTAAAGAGGCAGAGAACTAAATGGTGAATTCTGTTGAAAAAGGTAATTTATCTCAGAACTATTGTTTTTGTTTCTTATTTTAAATTAAACCTTTTAACTGTTTTTATAGTTGCACTTTTATTCCTTTAAAAGCTACTTCCTATGACTTTTGGAACTAAAAAACATGCGGCATTTCTGCCCAACTGACATGAAACTGGTGGAATAGACGTTCTAAATAAAGAACTGACATTAGAACTTTCTAGTCCTTTGTGTTTTCTTCAGGCTCTGTCATGACTTTGGGTAAACTCCTCTGTATTAATTTGGACATATTCTTCATCTTGGTTCCTATTTTCTGATGAAAATGCAAGCCAGAAGGTTTTGGGTAGCCTTTGAACAAACCGTGATAAAATATATGTACGGGAGGGTGGAATTAAGTAGGTGGGACTCTCTCTCTCTCTCCCATAATACTGAAATTTGGGATCTCCCGACAAAATTTATGGGCAGTCGATATCCAGACAGTTAAAAATGAGCACTGCTTGGCACGTGACATGATTACCTTCCGAAATATGTTTCCACTAGAAATAGCAAGGGCTCTGGCTTAGAGAGCTGTAAAAGGGGATTAGGCAAATTCATGGAGAAAAGGTCTATCAAAAGCTATTAGCCATGGTGGCTAAATGGAGCCTCCCTGTTCAGAGGCAATATATCTTCATCAGTGGCTAAATGGCAGGGTTCATCTTCCGCTTCCTGGATACGGCAACCCGGCCGCTGTTGGAAATAATTGGAACTTATGTGAGGAGGAGCTAGGCAACACTGGGGGTGCCATCGGAACCACAGTCTCCATCCAAATTGCCTCTGTCCCCCTGCACGGTTTCTTAGAACCAAATGGCATATGTGCAGTCCCCCTCACTAAAACGATAGTTTGGCCCTTAGCCTTACTTTTGTTCAGCTGTGTGTGCAATGTCTTGATCTGTCACGAGGTGGCGCCCTCACGTTATCGTGTGCATGAAAAGCGGTTGTTGTTTTTTAAAAATTGTATCCCACACTCTTCCAAGCGCATGATGGGCTTCGCAAGCATGTAAATGGGGGGGGGGGAGGTTTCTGAGACATCTGTTGAAAATTGTCTTCCGTTCTCTGCGACAGAATGGAGAAACAATCCAAAATCTGTGGGAGAAAGAGGGTGCACTTTATGCCTTGTTAGCCGCCCTGGGCCTGCCCTAGCAGGGAGGGCAGGGTATAAATTCAATTAATGAATGAGTGAATACGTGAATGAATGAATACAGAGAAGCTGGAAGTACTCCTTTGAGAAGATCAGAGAGAGAGAGACTAGGAGTGTAGTCCTAAGCAGAGTTACACCTGGCTAAGTCCAGTGGACTAAGAAGGGTGTAATTCTGTGTAGGACTGAACTGTAAAACTAGGATGGTCTTTTTGCCTGTGTGTGTGTGTTTAATGAAAAGTCAGAGCAGCAAACTACACATGAACACACATGAAGCTGCCTTATGCTGGATCAGACCCTTGGTCCACCGAGGTCAGTATTTACTCAGACTGGCAGCAGCTCTCCAAGGTCTCAGGGTCTTTCCCATCACCTACTGCCTGCTCCTTTTTTGCAATGAGAGCCAGTTTGGTGTAGTGGTTAAGTGCGCGGACTCTAATCTGGGAGAACCGGGTTTGATTCCCCACTCCGCCATTTGCACCTGCTGGATGACCTTGGGCAAGCCGTAGTTCTGATAAGAGCTGTTCTTGAAAAAGAGCAGTTTCTATCAGAGCTCTCTCAGCCCCACCTACTTCACAAGGGTGTCTGTTGTGGGGAGGGGAAGGGAAAAGGAGTTTGTATGCCGCTCTGAGACTCCTTTGGGTAGTGAAGGGCCAGGTATAAATCCAATCTCTTCTTCTTTTAACTGGAGATGCCGGGGATTGAACCTGGGACCTTCTGCATGCCAAACATGCCACTGAGCACAGGCAAGGAAAAGAATCTTCTGCTCTTTTTTGCATTTAGCATTTTCAGAAGAATGTTGGATGACTCTGGACACATGCAGAAGAAATGTCCATTGCAAGAGAGTTTCTGTAAGACAGACCATGCTAAATGAAGATAATTGCATAAGTTTACAGTAACTGATTAGCGATGCGGGTTTTAATTGCCCGTTTTGAGTATGATGCAGGCTTAAGCACTGGTTGTGAAGGAAAAAGCCACCTATTCACAGTTAACCTTAAATAGTGGCTAGCTTGATTTTCTCACTGGAATCCACACTGAGTGATGGATGCCAACAAACAGGTGTCTAGTCAGGAATGTAACTGAAGAACCTTGACATCTTGCCCAGTTGGAAAATACTGGCAAAAATC